ACCATAGTAACCATTCATTCCCTCAGTCTCCACAGCCAGTTCCCGCACCTGTTTCTACTTCTCCTCTGATTACCCTAGCTTCTCCCTCATTGGTCCACTCTCCTCCTCTCCCTGTTTATATACCCGGCTCTGCCAATTATTCTTCGCTGGTTCCTCAATTCTACTGGTCATGTTTGTCACGTCAGTCTTCCTGTTCCCTTGGGATTATTTCTGCCTCTGTACCTCCTACGACCTGTTCTGCCAACGCCTCCGCACCTCTTCCGGAGGGTTTGGTCACCGCCTCACACTGTTCCCCTGCATCTCTGGCATCCTTTCTGGCTTCCAGTTTCCGGTCAGACCTGGTGCAGGGGCCCACAGCTGATTCCGCAGAACACCCACTCGATGCCTCTGCATTAACCTCCACAGAGGGTCGGCTCCCAGCTTCCGCGTCTGCCTCTCCAGAGTTCCTGCTCGACACCTCCACTTCTGCTTCCACGGAGGGCCGGCTCCACGCCCCAGTTCCAGCAGCAGCTCATTCCGACGCTTCCGCATCTGTTTCTGCGGAGGGTTGGCTCCTTGCCCCGGCCTCAGCGACTGCTCAGCCCAACGATTCGGTCTCCGCCTCCACGGAAGCTCAACGCAACGTCCCCGCTTCCACAGTCTCGGGAGCTCAACTCGACGCTTCAGTTTCCGTAGTTCCAGGTGCTCAGTTCGATACCTCAACCACAGAGCCTCAGCATGAAGCCAAGTTTCCTGAGCCTCAGCATGCAGCCAAGCCTGTTGCCAAGTCCCCAGAGTTTCGAGATGGGTCCGAGGACAGACCGCCTCTGATCCTAGCTCCAGAGTTTCCTGAGGGGTTCGAGGACGAACCGCCTCTGATACTAGTTTCAGAGTTTCCAGAGGGGTTCGAGGACAAACTGCCTCTACTGCCTGTCCCAGGGGGGTTCAAGGACGGATCGCCTCTAATTCTAGCTCCAGAGTTTCCAGAGGGGTCCGAGGGTGGACTGCCTCTGATGCAGGTTCCAGGGCCCACTGACTTTGCTCCAGGCCCCACTGACTGTGCTCCAGAAGCTGCTGACTCACAACCTGACTCCAAGACTACAGACTCCAAGTGTGTCTTTAGGGCTCCTGACTCCATGCCTGACTATGGGGTGCCAGACTCCATGCCTGACTCCAAGGCTACCGACTCAAAGCCTGACTCCAAGGCTACCAACTCAAATCCTGACTCCAAGGCTACTGACTCAAAGCCTGATCCCGAGACTCCAGACTTCCAGCCTGACTCTGAGCTGCCAGACTTCCAGCCTGACTCCGACTCCAAGCCTACTGACTGCGACCAAGACTGTCGACTATACACCTTAACCAACTCTTTGCTTCCAGAGTTCCAGCCAGGTCCCGTGCTTCGAGAGTTCTGGCTGGGTCCCGGGCTTCCAGAGCTCCAGCTCCAGCCATCTGGGTTCTTCTGGTCTAAGCGCCGGCCTCCTAGACTCCTGTTCTGCCGCCACCGACCTCCAGACAAGCCTCTTCGTGGGTTCTCCTGTTTAAGGCGTCAACCCCCAGACAAGCCCCTTCGAGGGTCCTCCACGCTCCGCTGCAGGCCGCCTAGACCCCAGCTTCTTCACCGCAGACCTCCTGACGGGTCAACTCGTGGGTTCACCTGGCCTCGCCACAGACCTCCTAGACACCAGCTCCTACGCCGCAGACCTCCTAGACACCAGCTCCTAAGTCGCAGACCTCCTAGTCACCAGCTCCTACGCTGCAGACCTCTGGACAGGCCACTTCGTGGGTTCTCCTAGTCTCGCTGCCGACCCCCAGATCGCCAGCTCCCTCATTGCTGGCTTCTTCGTCGCCGGCATCCTGGCCTCTCCCAAGTTGGAACTTTTTGATCTGTCCTTGGGGTTTATTAGTTTCATGGACTACAGTCCATGGGTTATTTTGTTTCTGGACTCTTGCCCGCCTTCCGAGGCCCCCTTCCGACCGCCCTGGTCGGATTGTTTTGTTTTTTTGTGTTTGGCCTCTTGCTTAGATTTTTAGGTCATCTGGTATCCGACCTTAGGAAGGGGGTACTGTCAGGATCTGCTATTTTAGTTTTTGTGCTTGTTTACTTGTGACTGTTTTGTATATTCTGTCCCTTTGGTTTATTTACTTCATTATTTCCTCTGTTTTCCTGTGTTCTCCTTTCCCCTTCTCTGTGCCCTACTAGTTCCTCCCCTTGGCCTTAGTTCCCTTTAGTTATTATTTACTCAGTGTTCGTTTCCCTTTATATTTGTAGTTCTTCCCAGCCTTATTCCTAGTATAGTTCCCCATGTTAGTCTCTATTGTTTCAGTTCCTTCTGACAGGTTAGCTTTTAGTTATTTGTTTGCCGCTATACTTGGTTCCACTTATTGTTTACGATTTGGTTTGCATTTATTCTACGTCATCACTTTCTCTGCTTCCCTCCCAGTTAGTTCAGTCAGTATTTGTTGTTGTTTGTTTTTTTGCTCTCCCTTTTCTGTTAGGGTTTGTTATCCTTAGATCCTAGTTTCCCTTTGGTTACCCTAGCGTCTCCCTCATTGGTCCACTCTCCTCCTCTCCCTGTTTATATACCTGGTTCCGCCAATTATTCTTCGCTGGTTCCTCAATTCTACTGGTCATGTTTGTCACATCAGTCTTTGTGTTTCCTTGGGATTATTTCTGCCTCTGTACCTTTTCATGGTGCCTGAATTAAAGGATTTGTTTTCAACATGCTGCCGCCCAGTGCTTGTCTGCATCTTGGTCCACAACTACCCCAGACAAAAACACTCATTTTCTATGTTTAATTTTCTATTTTCTACAATCATAGAGAGCAACTTTTTACTGGATAGAACTATTACATGCTGGGGCTGTAATACAGGGGCTGTACGGTGGCACAGTTGGTAGCACTGTTGCCTTGCACACAAGAAGGTTCTGGGTTCAACTCCCAGCCGGGGGTCTTTCTGCATGGAGTTTGCATGTTCTCCCCGTGCATGTGTTGGGTCTCACCGGGTACTCCGGCTTCCTCCAACAGTTTGAAAACATGACTGTTAGGTTAACTGATCTCTCTAAATTGGGTGTGTGGATGATTGTTTGTCCTGTATGTCTCTGTGTTGCCCTGTGATGGATTGGTGACCTGTCCAGGGTGTACCCTGCCTCTGGCCCGTAGACTGCTGGGGATAGGCACCAGCCCACCTGTGACCCACTATGGAATAAGCGGTATAGAAGATGAATGAATGAAAGAACTATTACATTTGCTATGTATAAGATAAAACTGTTAAAGTTATAAAATTATCATTAAATTCACCTACAGTGATTAGCTGACATAAAAATCTCAACTTATCTCTGCTTTGGTAAAGAATAGTCATTCTAAAATACAGGAAACAGACAAGCCCCTTTCTTTTTTTTAGGGTAAAACCATCAAGTACTACTTCAACCATCAGAGACAGCATAAAAAACAGACAGAAAGGGAATCAAAGGGTTTAAATGTATTTGATCTTTAAGCACTTTAACACCTTGACTGGCCATTATCATAGCGCGTGATCAAATATTTATAGTGAGAGAAACTCAAAGGTCAAGTGTTACCTTTGTAAACATTGGCTTCCCATGCTGGGTGACCATGGTGCACTGATCACAGTCCAGGGTGATGCAGGAGTTGTGGAAGGACTCCTTGGAGTGTTTCAGGATATAATGGAGCTCAGTGACGCCGCCCTCGAACACTGTGCTGAAATAACGGGGTATCAACGTCCGGCCGATTGCTGCAGGGAAAAGGGAGGAGAGGATGGAAATGCTGAATACTGAAGAAGCCCAAACAATGAAATGATGTTGGCAAGAAAGGGGCAGTTTATGGACAAACAAAAGAGCTGTACAGGCCTGCAAACTGCATACTGCTTGGATATGAATTGATTTCATTTTTACTCTCCATACTTGCAGATATTTTTCTCAACCGATAAGCATATGAGGTTCATTAACAGAGGTCAATATCTTGCTTAAAGACACTTCCCTATGTACTGGCATCGTTCATTTAACCAGTGATTTTCCCACTGGGAGACTCTGCCAGGGCAGCCTGGTGCTGCAGCATCATCTATTATCTAGTTAAAGGTTACTAAATTTTTTGCCAATGTGTTCATACCACTCAAACCTTATTCAATTTTGGCATGCTACAACCACAAACTTAAAAAAAAAAAAGTTATTTTATATAACAGTGCAACACAAAGTAGTGCATAAATGTTAAGTGAGAAAATGATACACGGTTTAAACGTTCTTTACAAAAACAAAAAATGTAGTGAATATATGTATTTATCCCCTCCTGAGTCAAAAACTTTGTAGAACCACCTTTCACTGCAATTACATCTGTAAGTCTTTTGAGGAATGTATCTACTAACTTTGTACATCTAGACACTGAAACTTAGGTTTATCTGTACAGCAAACTTCAAATACCAGGCAGAAATGCGCTTTGCAACACATACTGTAACACCAAGAATAAATATCGTAACACAAAAACAAAAACAATGAATAGTTAAGCATTTTTAAATTAGATGATATGATATATATGCTTTAAATGGAAGTTCTTTTTATAAGCTGTCAAAATGAGTTTTTTTGTCAGCTTTTGAAACAAAAGTTTGCAATATACATACTAGGGGTGTACCTCACACAGAAATGATGGTTCAGTATGTATTCGGGTTTTAAACCCATGGCTTGGTATGCTTTTGTTACACTTCCACCAAGAAAAATAGTTTAAAATATATGATTTTTATTATGATTTTATTTTGATCTGAAACTTGAAAAAGTGGAAATTATAGAACTTGGGTGGATTTTTTTTAATTGAATATAATAGTATAAGCAGCCAGAGACAATGCCTGGAAGGATAGATTATACAACAATATAATCACCTGAAAATGGTCAATGTTCGTGTTTTGACATTTTTAAATAAGTCGGTGCCCATTTGTTAGAATAAAACCAGTTTAAATCGATTGTTGTTTTGATATTTTAACAATCTAGTTTACCAGCTGAACCTGAATGCAATCAAAACTTTCCAAGAAACATTTCTGACGTAAAAAAAATCTATCAGTGACCAATATAGCCCCCCTTCTTTTCAATAACAGTAATAAGCCTTCCGTTCATGGAGTCTGACAGTTTCCTGATCTGTTGACGATCAACTTTTTTTGCAGCACTGTAAATGTCCTGTTTAAAAAACTGCCCAAAAGAGCTCAACTGGGTTCAGTTCAGGTGAGGTTGGGGCCATGTCATGTGATTTTCATTGTTAACACCTTTACTGGCTAGCCATGCAGAGGAGTACTTGGGTGCATGTGATGGACCATTGAAATGCATAAAAATCATTGTCTTTTTGAAAGAAGCAGACTTCTTCCTGTGCCATCTTGAAGAACGTGTCTTATGAAAACTGGCAGTAGGTTTGGGAGTTGATTATGAGCCCATCTTTAACCCAAAAAGGTGGAGCTCTATGCCTGTTACTATTCTAGCCACAGGCCCATCCATCTGGTCAAGAGTCACTCTCATTTCATCAGTCCAAAAAACCTCTGAAAAATCTGTCTTCAGATATTTCCTGGCCCAGTCAAGATGTTTCTTTCTTTCCTCTAATACCTACACAACTTATGGTAGAAAGTGATAAATAGGTGATTAAAAATGTATTTCATTCATAATAAGGTGAACTTTGCCTATAATAGTCTTACAGGTACACCGTACATGCACATGTAAGTAAACAACAATATGGATTTCTATCCCGTTAAATGTTTTCGTCAATATAAAACACACGCTTTGTTACGTAAGCTGCATTGCTTTCTGAACCTTAAATAAATAATTTGAGGCAGATGAAAATCCTTATGCACCTCTTCAGCTTGTTTTTAAGTTCTGAGCTGAAGCAGAGAGACAATTAGTTTGACTCTGCATTACAAACTGGAGACAGCAGGAGGCAGCTGGCCTGGATGAGTGCCAGAGCTGAAGCTCCACATATCAACCTATTTTTTGCCCCACACCTGTGTGTTATCAGGTTAAACAAATGAGATAAAAGGAGATCATTACAAAACTTCAGAGCGACAGAGCATAAATTTGAACTTTGCACAGAACCATGCTATTTCCTGTTTTTTGGAGATATTTTAAGGCTGGACTAATTGCCTCCTGGCGCAACACATTAACAGCAATAGGAGCGCTTTCTGTCTGCTTTTTTTTACTTTCAGGAGGAATGTATAAAACTCTGTTTACTAGTTGTTATATAAATATTTATTTGAGAATACTTTGCTACTAATATTTGTACTATTTAAGTTATTTTAGTATATATATAAGTTACACAAATGTCAACGATTCCATCCAATAAAAAAGTCCAAATAATAATAGTATGATACATGCACATTTCTTTATGAAAACATGAAATTCATATCTATGCTGCCATAACTGTTGTGAAAATTGCAATAAAAAGTCAAATTTAATCAATTAGAATATGTGTTCCGATGATGGTCGTTTGTCAGATTAAAAGTACCTAGGTACCTAGGTAGGTGTTAAACTTACACTACCATTTATTAAGTCCGTGTTTTTTATTGGTCTGATGCAATGATTGAATCTTAAATGTTATTTTTTCTATTATCTTTAAACTGAAAATCATCATAATTAACAGAAATAAAGGCTTGAAAACATCAGCCTGTGTGGAATTAATCTATATAATGTGTTTCAGTTTTTGAACTGAATTATTGAAAAAAAAAAAATTTTCAATATAATCCTAATTTATTAAATATGACTCTATTATCCATTATATACCGTGACATATACCCAATCAAATAACTCAAAAATCTTAAATAAAGGCCTCAAAATGAAAGGCTACACAGGGAAAAAAATAGAATCTGAAAGCTAACAGGCTTCATTCATCCTGAACCAATAATATTAATGTAAACTACTTAATTCTCTTATGATTTCAGATTAAACCTTAACTATATGGACTGCATAAAAAGCTGTAAGAAGACCGGAAGTGACGAGGAATTCCTTGACTGAAAACAACATTTCCTGTTTACCGTATGATACCTTCTATGTCCCTGACACTCATAGGAGCAGCATAGGTAATAGCTCTGCTGCCTGGTTGCTTTTAATTATAACATGAAAAGCTGCGTCTTGATGAGACGCCAGAATGATTGTGCGTTTAAATGTATAAATCATGAAAAAGATGACCTTGTAATTGAGGTCATTTGGAAATCAGAGCTTTCAATGAAGCAGACACTATATGGATATTGTCACTGTTACTTATTTAAGCTTAAGTAATTCCAACACTAAAATCGATATTAGATTTGGACACCACTGGGAATAATATCCAGTCCAACTGGCCACATATATCTACAGGCAGAGCATGAATGCGTTCCAGTTTAAATTTATCAGCCTACCAAAGTTTGCATCAAAGCAGTCTGTAATGATACTGATTTTACTGTAATATATCAGCACACTGTGCCTGCAACACAGAGTAGGCTTTGAACATCAGATTTTTCCTCTAATCATCAAATAAATCTTCTCATACATGAGTAAAAGTCCAAATCATTCAAAACGTCTGACATTTAAAGATTTGTCCTTAAACAAGAAAATACCACTAAACATTTCAGTATATCACTACCCAGGGTAAGGCTATCTGTATAATATGCATAGCACACATTTTACATAATCTTCATTTGAGTAATACTGCACAGATAAATGCAGATTTTTTTCCCCAACACATTTTTCAGAATAATATGACGTAGTATAGTGTTAAACTGACTTATTGAGATGGACAGGTTCTGCAGAGCAAACTTCTGCAGAAGCCTGAAGAGACAATGAGCAGGGTGCATGATGAAAACCGGAGGAGGAGTCAGGTAGGGAGAGAGTGTCTTCAGTGGATTTATAGCCCTCAGGCTTCGTCTGGTTTCTATCTTTTCTGAGTTAGCTATAGCTTCAAGGAGCAGAGATGATACAGTATTCATGCTATACTACAC